GTGTAATCCTTTATAAAGTGGTTTTAGTTTTCATCCACTTCCTATGTGTGAAAAACATATTTATTAGTTTTTCACCAACATAAACTCATTTTAAGTGGCACACTTTGAACTTCAATTTCTCATTCACTCGAGCATCAATTTTGACAAGTAAATATATGATTCCGATATACTCACTGAGGAGAACACAAATCTACCTTGATTTTCCAAAATAGTCAAACGGGTCCCACTCAAAAATCATGCCAAAGTCAGCTATATTACTCATTTTTCCAACATGATTTACATACAGATGATGTGACAAAAAGAGATTTGAGAAGATTTGTTTTATTTAGTTGAAGAAATTTTGATCTAATCACATCTAACTACATCATGTGTATATAAATTATTATGTAAATCAATATGTACAAGTATCACAACTGTTAACTATATATGTAGTGTTCTTATAATTATGGGGCACTATATAATCGCAATACATGTAAAACCTCTATATTAAATTGAGCCACATTGACCCGATTGTAATGCTTATTAAATGAAATTGTTAAAATCTAGTCGAAGTATGACAAAATTGTTAAATTTTGATCGGACTGGCCGAATTAAATTTGAAACGGGCAAAGAGTGTCATAATAATATGCATCCAACTCTTTTAACTATTTAACAAGCAGTTGAACCAATAACCAAGCCATAGAGTAATCTAAACGTATAATACCAGTCACAGCCTGATAACTATGATATTACTGATTGTTTGTATTTAAACATGTTTTTGATAAGGGCTAAATATGAATCATCACATTTTTTAATACGTAGATTACATTTAATAAAATGGAATGTTTATGATGTTTCAAATATTTTTTTATCGCATTGTTACTCTTAAATTACTATAAATTTTTCTTGATTATAATTTCTTTTTAAAAAAGTCCATTAAAATAGAGTAAATAGACCCATTTGACCTCATTTTAAAGCACGGATTTTTAGACGAAAATCATGACTAACGATAATATTTTTCTGATTAATAAAGTGTTAAAAACAAGAACGTGATAAAGAAAAAAGTTAAGAATATAAGCGAATTATGCTAAGTGTACATTTCATGGTGTACATCTTTTTTGACATTATGTGAGAATTCAAAAAGTGTTGAGCGAGAAAGTGTGTTTTTTTTTGAAAAAAAAACTTTCAAATCATGTGCCGATATATAACACAATATAAAAAATGATGTAAAACAAAATATACATGTAACATGATTTGAATATAAGTCCATATTTGACAACCATTATTTTCAAGTTTTTTTTCCTCTACGTACTCATTTTCAATCACATTAAAAAAAAAAATTCATACTTTTTAGCCACACATTCTTCTAAAAATCACTATTCATAATTCAATTTTTCCAAGCAATGGTTGTCAAACAAGGGCTCAGTAAGACAATGTATAAATGTTAATTGCCTTCAATATAATTTAAATGTTGTGCATTTAAAAATGGTGATGTGAATATATCACATTTGATGAGTTATCATCACATTCTTGAGAGGACTTTTAGCCCCTGTTTGGCGAGGAATAAAATTTAATTTTTAATTAAAATTAAAATCAACAATTAATTTTAGAATAATTTACTTGTACATTAAGAGTTACAAAAAGTTTTGTTGACGTTGAAATTTGTATGAACGATATTCAAGCCAACTTAAGGAAAGAAACGTTGATTTCTTATTGAAATAACCAAGTGTTTACAAGAATATGATACAATCCATCACTTTTCCTGGTAATAGGAAGTATTTGAAGTATGAGAATATTCTAAGAGTTTGTATATGCTTGTATTCACGTTTCTCTTTTTTCCTTTTGAGTTTGGGATCCCTATTTATAGGGAAAATATGCATGCATGCATGCTACATTTCCTGTCTTTTCACTAGAATTCCAAGCTGAAGAAGTACAGTGGCTGGTGCGATAAGATTGGTAGCCGAGCTGTATTCTGTCAGATTACTTTAGAGCATTAATTGAAAGTGGCCACTAGAAATTAATGTATTACTTAGTGAGGGATGCTAACACTTCTTATTGGAGGACTATGCGAGCGCTGATGTAAGATCTTTCTAGCTACATATCTGTGATTGGTGGCTCATATATCCTGTCAAAGATTCTCAATCATTACATTCTTCTTTGTCTTGAAAGACTGCACAAACTTTTCGCAGAAGGTATCCACCTCCGAGCTGACCTCACACGACTGAGCTCAACATATGTTCTACTAATGACGTGGATCAATCCGACCTTAATCACCTCGGAGACCAGTGTCAACAAGTTTTATAGACAGATAAAGTATCAAAATAGAGGAAAAGTTTTTTTTTAAAAAAAACAAATTTATTTGAATAAATTTTCATCCAATCGCATTTCAGCACATCACGTGTATGTACATCAATAAATCTATAAATTGTGATGTACATGGAGCACAATCATTAATTTTAACTACATTTAATGCGATTTACAATTTTTCAACGACACATTTTATTCACTTTTATCAGAACTAGTCACGGCTAAACTTTCGTTGCACGTTATTTTAAAATACTTTATAAACACTATAAAAATGATATTTGAAAATCAGTTAATATAAAAAGTAGTTAAAAAGACTGTTTATGTGAAATGAACTTTTTATACAAATTAATTATTTATTTACGTTTATGATGATAATTAATATTAATTTATATATAATATATTATAATTAAATCAATTAATTCTTCAAATTCATGCATGTACACTTTATATATTTTTGGGGATGTTCAATTACTCTGAAAATACTGCAATTCAATAACTTATGTATGTGCATGTATATTAATCAACATTTATTTATGAATATATTAAATATAACATTAAGTCATCAAGTTTATGTACACATATTTTTTGAGCTATTCAATTATTCTGTGAGTAAATAAATTATTCAAATTTATGAACACGTATTTATTTTCAAAATTATTCATTTTATCATAAATTAATCTAGAAGTATGTAAATTATTAAAGATCATATAATTTGGGAGCTATTCAATTATTATAGGAGTAGATAAATTATTCAGGTTCACGTACACTTATTTAATTTCAATATTATTCATTTAATTTATGGGAAGTGCTAGAGGTACATAATTTTTGTACATAGAGTCCTCGTTTGACACCCATTTTTTATCTCATTCTCATTCTCATTTTTCTACAGTACTCATTTCTAACACACATTCTCCAAATAAAATAATATTACACATAAATCCAAAAATTCTTCTTACTTTTTAACCACACATTTTTTACATCAAATTAATTTTATACCTAAATTCAATTTTTTTTTATTTATACTTTTTAACCACACATTCTTTAGATCAATCACTATTCAAAAACTCATTCTTCAAAAGAATGGGTGCCAAACACCCACAGAGTGTTACATAATACTCACATGGGGTGTAGCCCACTCACATGGGGTGGGACCCACCCCATGTGAGTGTTATGTAACACTCTATATACAAAAATTATGTACATCTAGAATTATTCTTAATCTATTATATAACGTCATTTATCTAAATATATATAAATTATTCTTTTTCCATATTCATTGATTCAAATTAAATCCCACGTTGGTTCATGTACACCCCTTTGTTGAAATGTATATAGATTATTATTTTTCTATACCAATTAATTCAAATTAATTAAATTTCATATTGTTCACTTACACCCATTTTGTTTAAATGTATATACATTATTCTTTTTATATATTCATTAATTCAAATTAATTAAATTCTATGTTCATGAATCAATTTGATTGTTCTCATGAAATTCAATTATTGATTTGTGTGTATATTAATATTCAATCAAATATATATTGAAAAACGAAAAGTAAGGTACTATTGAAATTATTAAATTATAGTATCACTAAAATCATCCAAAAAATGATTCTCACACGATATTTAATAGGAATTGTGGAAAATGGGTGGAAAGAAAATGAATTTAAGGGAAAGTAATTGCCTAAAAATTGTTTTGAAGGGAATTGTTAATTATGTGTGTTTGATTGATATAATTTTCCACCTGAAAATTTTTTAAATTTTGTGTTCATTTGACATTCGTTTGCATCAAAATTGTCCATTAAAGTGATAATTTTTTCCACACTTAGGTATAAAATTTGTTTCAATTGCCAAAAAGTAAAAAAAAAAAAAAAAAGTCAAAAATGACGACAGGTTGAGAATTGGTTTTCACCAATTTGGAGGGAAAGCCGCGCGTGGAGGTTGTCCCAAGAAAATAATTTCCCAACCATTTTATGTCAATCAAACATGGTTTTTGTTGGAAAATGGAATTCTTTTCTTTTTCCATTTTCCATGGAAAAAGAAGGTAATCAAACACTGCCTTATAGATTTATTAAAACTTTGATTTTGACATTGACATTGACTTTTACAGTTCTACCTTAATTTACGTATAAGTAAATTTTGAAGGTTAACCAAACACCTTATCTCTCGTAATCGGCACCAGCTCAAAAGGCCCATATACTTCAACGCCGCCTTATTCTTGTTCTCAATCTCATCTTTTCATTATTTCCATATATTATTTATATACATATGCACGGAGATAGATAATCGTACTCAGGGAAAATTGAAAAGAAAAACTTGAGAAAAAGGAATATAAAAAGGGTGAACCGTGAAAGAATCCGTCACCGCCCACCACGGCACCTCATTTCGATTTTTATATTTCCACAGAATTTTAGGGTTTTTTCTGTTTGTAATTTATATCGATATTTAAAATTTTCTCTTAAGGAGTTACTCTCGATTCATCTAAGGTTTCGTACGACTGGATTAAAATTTTCGATTAATTCGTCTGTAAAGGTTTTGTGATTGTGTTTTCTTCCAGCTGAATCGATAAATATTCGGTTTTTAGCTTTTGGGAATTAGGGGTTTTTGTAAATTTTTGGTTTTTAGAGCGGTATGTTAAGAATTTGGGGATCGAGGGATGTTCTGATCGCCGATTAGTCGGCGAGTAGATTAATCTGTCCTGAAAGTTATTGTATGGAAACTCGGAGTCGGAAGCGGGCGGAGGCAAACACCTCAGCAGTGCCTTCTTCTTCTTCCTCTGGTCCGACCACCCGTGCCTCCAAGCGTGCTCGTCTTTCTGCCTCTAACGCTCCCACTGCCTCTTTCTCCACGACCTCATTGATATCCACTCGTTCTCGTGCTTTGACTCGATCAAAAGACTCGGTAGTTTCATCTACTCTAATGGACCAAACCCCCGAAGCCTTCGCTGGCTCTGGTTCGACAACCCGTGGTCGTCGTGGCAAAAACCCTAGTAACCAAAACTCTGATAACAAAGATAACACTAATTTGAATAAAGGCAAGGAGAAAGAGCACGACATCAGGGTTAGGGATAGAGATAGAGAAACTGAAAGGAGCTCAGGACTGAACATTGATTCCCATGGTGGTGGTGATGATGATGATATCGACAGCGAGGGAGGAGTTGGGATTTTGCACCAGAATTATACTTCAGCAAGCAGTGCCTTTCAGGGGCTCTTGAGGAAACTGGGCGCCGGATTAGATGATCTGCTCCCTAGCTCTGCAATGGGGTCTGCCTCGTCCTCCCATCAGAGTGGAAGGCTGAAGAAGATTTTGTCAGGTTTGAGGGCAGATGGCGAGGAAGGGAAGCAAGTGGAAGCTTTAACACAGCTATGTGACATGCTTTCCATAGGGACTGAGGACTCACTGAGTTCTTTCTCTGTGGATTCTTTTGCTCCGGTGCTTGTTGAGTTGCTTAATCATGAAAGTAATCCTGATATAATGCTTCTCGCAGCTAGGGCACTGACTCATTTGGTTGACGTGCTACCCTCCTCATGTGCTGCCGTGGTGCATTATGGTGCAGTCACCTGCTTTGTTACTCGACTGCTTACTATTGAGTACATGGACTTGGCTGAACAGGTGAAAAATTTAATCATTGTTGGTACTTGGTAGAATTATGAGCTCTGAGTACTTTTGGATGTAGTTGACAATTATCAGGATAAAAAAAATTCTCCACCGTGTATGGTTGTGATTATTATTTTTATTGCTAACCACATTCTTTCTTTTAGCTAATGGATTTTTTTGGTGATTAAAGTGTTGCTTCTTATCATTGACACTCGATTGTGTTGGAACAGTCACTGCAAGCTCTGAAAAAGATCTCTCAGGAGCACCCAACTGCTTGCTTGCGAGCGGGAGCGCTTATGGCGGTGCTTTCATATCTCGACTTCTTCTCTACTGGAGTTCAGGTGAGTTATTGGGAAAATTCCAGTAGTTATGTTGATATTGGTAATGTTCTTAGTTTCACTGTATTTTCCACCATTAAACTGTAACAAGTTTCTTCAGTAAGTCAAATGAATATGATTCTCTCTAAATATTCTGCTAGAGGGTGGCATTATCGACTGCTGCAAATATGTGCAAAAAATTACCTTCAGATGCATCTGACTTCGTGATGGAAGCTGTTCCGTTGTTGACTAATCTTCTTCAGTATCATGATGCAAAGGTGAGATAATTTTTCTACAGCTTTAAATGATAAGGAAACTATTAAGATCTATTTATGGCTCCTTTTTTTTCTCTTTCCTCTCTGCGTAACCAGCTAGTGCTTGGTTTTATTTATAGGTTTTAGAACATGCATCTATTTGCTTGACCCGGATTGCTGAGGCATTTGCGTCATCGCCAGAGAAGCTTGATGAACTCTGCAATAATGGACTTGTTACCCAAGCTACAACCTTAATTTCAACTAGCAATTCTGGAGGTGGTCAAGCTTCACTCAGCATTTCTACATACACAGTGAGTTCAAAGATCAGTTCTCATTTACTGTCTTTTATGGTAAGAGGCTGCTTTATGACCTATTAAGCATACAGGGCTTAATTCGGCTTCTATGCACTTGTGCAAGTGGTTCTCCTTTAGGGACAAAGTCTCTACTGCTGCTTGGGATCAGTGGCATTCTTAAAGATATCCTATCAGGGTCTGGCCTTGCTTCCAGCATGCCTGTTTCACCTGCCTTAAGTAGACCACCAGAGCAGGTACATGCTGTATCTTCTCTCACTTTTCACAATGGCCTAACATTAATAGGGCGATCTTCATGAAAATAATCTTCTACTTGTTGAAGAATTCTCAAATAAAGTAATGTCTCTTTGGTCAGTTTGATCCCTTTCTTGATCCCTATATAAAACTAATGCGATTTCCCATATCATCAGATTTTTGAGATTGTGAATCTGGCAAATGAGCTTCTTCCCCCGCTGCCTCAAGGAACAATATCTCTTCCAGTCAGCAGAAATCTGTTTGTTAAAGGCTCTTTTCCTAAAAAGGGTCCTGCAGGCAATTCGACCAAACAGGAAGATTTGAACGGAAACATGCTAGAGGTTTCAGCTCGTGAGAAATTGTTGAATGATCATCCTGAACTGCTACGGCAGTTTGGAATGGATCTCCTTCCTGTTCTTATCCAGGTTGGTTTTTAGCAGGAATTAGTGTTCCCGCATTTTACAGCCCTGTGTTCTATTAACATTTTGCCATATTTTTGCCATGCAGATATATGGGTCCAGTGTAAATGGTCCTGTTCGTCACAAGTGTCTTTCAGTTATTGGAAAATATATGTACTTCAGTACTGCTGAAATGATTCAATCTCTGATAAGTTCCACAAACATATCCAGGTATATGTCTCCTCCAGACTTGTATTTGCAGTATATTTTTCTTTATTGGTTAGCAAGAGAGAGATCCTTATCTTTAGTTTGTTTTATTTAGTTTTTTAGCTGGGGTCCTAGCTTGGAAAGATCCTCAAGTGCTAGTACCCGCTCTCCAAATAGCAGAAATCTTAATGCAAAAGCTTCCCGGTACTTTCTCAAAGATTTTTATAAGGGAAGGTGTTGTCCATGCTGTGGATTCTTTAATAATAGCTGGATCTGCGAGTAATACTTCTTTGCAGCCATCATCGAGTGAAAATGATAATGATTCTATTACTGGATCATCACGTTCTAGGCGCTGTCGACGACGTGGTGGCAATTCGAGTTCAGATGTAAATCCTGCTGAAGACAGTAAAAGTTCTGCCCCAAGTATCGGTTCACCTCCAAATACAATTGAAATTCCAACTGTCAATTCTACTCTTCGAGCGACAGTCAGTGCACGTGCAAAAGCTTTCAAAGATAAATACTTTCCATCTGATCTGGAGGCCAGTGAAACTGGAGTTACAGATGATCTCCTACGCCTAAAGAATCTTTCTGCAAAGTTGAATGCTAGTATTGATGATAAAAAAACTAAATCAAAGGGGAAATCGAAAGCTTCTGATTCTCAGCTTTCTGATTTTTCTGCTCCTAAGGAGGAATACTTGGTTGAGGTGATAGCTGAGATGCTGCAAGAGCTTAGCAGAGGGGATGGTGTTTCAACTTTTGAATTTATCTGTAGTGGAGCCATTGCCTCGTTGCTTAACTACATTACTTGTGGATATTTCTCCAAAGACAGTTCTTCTGAAGTTAATTTGCCTAAGCTTCGACAGCATGCCATCAGAAGGTGCAAATCTTTTGTTGTTGTTGCCCTTCCTTCAGGTGTTGATGAAAAGAATGGAGCTCCCATGAGTGTTTTGGTTCAAAAACTTCAAGATGCTCTTTCCTCGTTAGAGCGTTTCCCTGTCGTGCTGAGCCATACATCTCGGTCATTTGGTGGGAATGCACATCTTTCTTCTGGTCTAAGTGCACTTTCCCAACCATTCAAGCTGCGCCTCTGCAGAGTACAAGGAGAAAAATCTCTCCGTGACTACTCTTCGAATGTTGTGCTGATTGATCCATTAGCAAGTTTAGCTGCCGTTGAAGACTTCCTTTGGCCCCGAGTTCAACGATGTGAGTCTGGTCAAAAGCTCTCTTCAGCTGGGAATCCCGAGTCTGGGATCACTCCAGCTGCAGCTGGTGCATCGTCACCATCTACATTCATTCCTGCTGCTGGACGTAATTCAACGAGATCTAGATCATCAGTTCTTTTAGGTAGCACTGCCAA